CCTCTCTCTCCACCTCTCCCCCTCCCCCTGCCCCCCGCCGGTTCTGCCCTCTTCCTCCCCTCCTGTGGCGGTGCCTGGGGAACCGGCAAGTGGGGGTGGCCTGAGTCCCCTGGGTGACCCCATCAGTCCCCTTGCAGACGGTCATCACCACCATGGCCACGCTGAAGAAGAACCTGGCTGACGAGGGTGCCGTGTCCTGCTTGGTGCTGGGCACCGAAAGCAAGGAGATCCTGGTGCTGGACCCTGAGGCCTTCACCGTGCTGACCAAGGTCAGTGCGGGGCCTGGTGCCGGCCACACCTGAGGCCCAGGCTGCAGGCCTCCCCAATCCCTGTGCCCCCAACCCAACATTCATTGTAGAAAAACGAGGAAAAGGTGGATCTACCCCAATCTCTGCCCCCCCCCCCACCGTAAGGAGATCCACTGTGGAAGGTGTGGCACGTCTTCCAGGCACGTCACTGTTACATATGCAGCGGGGAGCGGGGTGGGGGAGGCCCCGCACCCACTCTGCTCTCCTGCCAGGAACCGTCCCTGTCTCTCCTCTCTTCTCCACTGGCTAAGGCCTCCCTCATATGGTAGCCACAGCCAAGTCATACCGCCATGGGGTCCCGTCACCCACTGTTTGTCTCTAGGTCAGGCCCTGTCTGGTCTTTCACTGTCCCCACCTCTGCTGTGCAGACCCCCTGGGCTCGAGAGTCCGTAGGAAGCCCTTCTGAGAGGAGGCAGAGACCCACAGAGTGTGCCGGCAGGCATGACTCCCTCCAGCACACAGTGCTTGATGAAGGTGCAGCCCCTGAGAGCCGAGTGAGGCGCAGGACTGGAGCTGTGGCAGCACCTGAGGCGGGGTCTTTGTTTGCAGATGAACCTCCCCAGCATCCCCGCGTTCCTGGACATCACCGGCCAGTTCGACGTGGAGTTCCTGCTGGCCGCTGCCTGTCGAGACGGCAACATCTATGTTCTGAGTAAGTAGAAAGCAACTTCGGTATGTAGCAACTGACAGAACAGAGGATGGTGCCAATAAAGTGCGCTCCCTTCCGAGGTGCAGGGGCCTGGAGTGGGGGTGGGGGGTGGGCCTGGAACAAACCGGCTGAGAAGGTCCCAGGAGGAAAGCACTAGTACAGAGAGTCTGCAGGCCGGCCACGTGAGCTGGGGCCCAGGCCTGGCAGCTCTCCGCCACTAGCAGGGCTCCCAGAGGTGGAGGGGCATCCACATGGGCCGCACCACTTCTCAGTACATGTGGCACATGTATCAGCCCACATGACGTCTGGTGCTGGACTTGCTTTCCACAGAATGCCCGCTGTGCGTTGAGCAGCGCACAAGGGTTCCCCAAGGCAATGCGGCAGACTGGGTGCGTGCTGTGCGGGCAAAGGGGCTCGCCTGGGAGGAGGTGACTTAAGGGACTGTCCGAGTACAGTAGAGACCGAGTCCCGGTTGTAACAGAGAAGTGACTCTGATCCATCTCCATTTCACAACTCTGCTGTGGGGGGAGCAGAGCAGGGAGACCAGCTGGGAGCAGCGGCCCCTGGGGGCCTGTACTGCTGACTTGGCAATGCCGAGGGCGGGCCAGACCTAGGGTTGGCAGTCAGGGCATCGGACTGCCAGTGCAGTTTCGCAGGGCAAAGTCATCATCCTCTTCTGAGCCCTAGTGGTGCTGTCCGGTGAGCCCTGGATTGTGACCATAACGTCAGTGGTTCAAATCCATCAGCTGCTTCTCAGGAGACAGATGAGGCTCTCTGCTGCTGTAAAGATCAGCTGCACCGGAAACCCTGACTAGGGTCATTATGAGCCAGAATTGACTCAGGGCCATGGCCGGGTCCAAGTCCACTAGCAGTGGCTAGTCCAAATCTAAAGTAAACCCCCCAAAAAACAAACGGGTCAGGGTCAGAGGGCTGCTCCAGAGGGTGTTCAAGGGCTGAGCTTTCAGCAGTTTCGCAGTCGGTCTTGTCTCTGGGTGGATTCGAACCTCAAACCTTCCTGTCACCTGTCGAGCACGTTCATTCACTGTTGAGACCCCCAAGTTCACTGTGAGCTCTGTGAAGTGCTGAGTTATAGCCCTGCTCACCCCCAAAAGGCAGGAGGGAAGCAAGCCCCATGTTGTGCTGGGTCACATGGCGGCTAAGCAGCGAGCAGGAGAACGTGCTGTGGGCCTGCTGGGGAAGTCGGGGGAGGGTTTCTCTGCAGCTGGAGCGGGGTGTCTTTCCTCCACAGAGACTCCAAGCGCCCCAAGTACTGCATTGAGCTGAGCGCCCAGCCCGTGGGGCTCGTCCGGGTACATAAGATCCTGGTGGTGGGCAGCACCCAAGACAGCCTGCACGGCTTCACCCACAAGGTGTGGCCTCTGGGCATGTGCCCCTCCCTGGCCCTCCTCCTCCACTGTTTCTCCCCCCGACCTCCCACACCCCAGAGCAGCAGAGCCCCTCAGGCTTCCCAGAAACTCCACACCTCCTTCCCACGACCCTTGCCAGCAGCCCCTGCCAACACTTGCTGCCCCCTTGCAGGGCAAGAAGCTCTGGACGGTGCCGATGCCCGCGGCCATCCTGACCATGAACCTCCTGGAACAGCGCTCCCGGGGCCTGCAGGCTGTCATGGTGGGACTGAGCAACGGCGAGGTCCGCGTCTATCGAGACAAGGCCCTGCTTAACATCATCCGCGCCCCGGTGAGCCTGCCCCTTCGCCCGCCTCTGCACCTCTGCCACCGACCCCACCCACTCGCCCAAGACTTTTGCTACCTTTCAAAGCCATTTGGGCCCCACATAGGCACAAGTCACTGTCCTGGGGGGCAAAGAACAATGAGCAAGTCGGTCTGGAGTTCTAGCAACAGCTAGTTCAGTAAGGGAAAGTGAGCAGGTGGGTGTGGGGGGTCAGAGGAGGGGATACGTGGGGATGGGACTTCTGGACCATGTGTCACTAGCAAGTGGCAGTTGACTGGGAAACGGAGGCAGAGCCGGGCAGCAGGGCCCAGGGCCAGACCATTCTGCCTCAGCCTGGGCCTACCCCATTTGCTGGGGGTGAAGCGGAGGCCCTTCTCGGCGTCTTCACTGCCACAGCCAAGTGGAACAGAGAATGCCCAGTGGACCGCCTTGAAGCGTGGTGTGTGTGTGTGTGCGCGTGTGTGTGTGCTGTGTCCCAGTATAAAGTGTGGCAGGGACTGGCTGCCCCACAGTGTGCTGGAGGGCCAGTGGGTGCGGTTGGGAAGGAGGCGGGAGAGAACTGATGAAAAGGCGAGCCGGCCCTGAGCTGTTGCAGCTGTGGGTCCCTGCGGTTCTGGAGGAAGGAACCAGAGACTCTAAGAAGCAGCGAGTCAGCAAGCTCCCGGCCGCCCACACAACACAAGGCCTCGTTCACCCAAGACCAGAAGATTGAGGGCCACCCCTGGTGACCCTTCTGACCAGGGACACAGGGCCCGATCGATGGGAGCGAAATGGGGACCAGAACTCCCAAGTCGTAAAATGTCCGGGCTGCCGTGACCCGCTGAGATTGGAGAACTAACTGCCTTTGGCCAGCGCCTCGCAGGATGGAACTGAAACTCGTGCAGGAGGCTGGCTGCAAAGGAAATGCAATGGGAGGGGGGGAAACAACCGCTGTCAGCTGGGAGTGCTGCGGCCCCTCCAGGCCCCTCCAAGACCGTCCACGCCAGACAGCTGGGGCCCCGGGAACAGAGGCAGGCGGGGAGACAAGGACTCGGGCCTCTCCCCTCATCTCACCTGTCCCATCTGAGAGCTCCCCATCCTTCCCCGCCCCCACTGCTCTCCAGCCAACCTCCCACTCTCCACCCTAGGACGCAGTCACCAGTCTCTGCTTTGGCCGCTATGGGCGGGAAGACAACACCCTCGTCATGACCACAAAAGGTAGGGGAGCCTCGCTGGGGAGGGGCTGGACCTGGGCTGCAGCGGGGGTGGGGGTGGGGGGTGAAGAGGTGGGTGTAAAGGCGGGGGGCCTCCCCCTGGGCCAGCTCACCAGCTTCCTGTGTTGTCAGCCAGGCGTGGGGCCCTGTCCTGAGGTCGTGTCCCCAGGAATAGCACCATCCCCCACAAATAGCACTGAAGGAGCTCATGCATTCTTGATAGGGCGTTAGCAGGGGCCACTCAGGGCTTCCATGATCTGCCACCCCGGAAGCCAGTCCTTAGGGAGTGCCTAAGCATGGTAATGTGGGGTCCCCTGGCTCCCCCAGGCGGTGGCTTGCTCATCAAGATCCTGAAGCGCACGGCTGTGTTTGTGGAGGCAGGGGGTGACGCGGGCCCCCCACCCGCCCAGTCCCTGAAGCTCAGTGTGCCCCGGAAGACCCGCCTCTACGTGGACCAGACCCTGCGGGAGCGAGAGTCTGCCACCGGTGAGCCCGGGTGGGGTTTCTTGCTCCTCTTCCCATCTTCCTCCTCCTCCCCTGCCTCCTCCTCCTCCCCTGCCTCCTCCTCCCCAGCTCCTTCAAGCAGCAAGAACTGGGTGAGAGCCACCTGGGGGCCAGGCATTGTTTCCCAGGACACCCAGGGAAGGCTCAGGGAGAGGTGATTCTTCAAAGACTTTCTTCCTGGAAGATGGAGCCCTGTGGTGCACCCACTGCCAACCAAAAGGCTGGGGGTTCAAACCTTCCAGCCACTCCATGAGAGAAAGATGAGGCAGGCTGCTCCCCAAAAGGGACCGCCTCCGGGCCCTGGGGAGCAGTTTGGCCCTTCCCTGTCGAGTTGCTGGGAGTGAGATCCACCCGACGACAGGGACTGGCCCTGATCGATGGGTACAAGACAGAGCGGGGTGGGAGTGGCAGTTAGCATCCTGGGTGGCCACACCCGCCACTTAGCTGCCAGTGGTAAGTAGGCAGAGTAGGGCGAGAAGGAGCTAGAATTCAAAGGGCTGCTGCCTCTGCCCCTCGACCCCACCAGCATCACTCCCTGTCCCCTCCCCAGCCATGCACCGAACCTTCCAGACAGACCTCTACCTGCTGCGTCTGCGCACCGCCCGGGCCTACGTGCAGGCCCTCGAGTCCAGCCTGAGCCCCGTGTCTGCCACGGCCCGGGAGCCGCTCAAGCTGCACGCAGTGGTGAGAGCTGGGCAGCAGGGGACCTTCTACCTTCACAGGCCCCACCCCTGCTGGTCTCTAGCCAGCTCCCTCCTGTGGGGCCTGCTCCCAGGAGTCTCAGCTGGGTGAAGGCAAGGTGCTGGGCTCCTGGTACAGGGATGGTCGAAACGTAGTGAGCCAGGCAGCCTGAGGGGGAGGGAGGGAAACACAGGAACCCAGCAGCCACCTGGATCTGACCCCTTCTCCTCCCTGGCGCTCTGCTGACCCCTCTGCGTCCATGGGGACAGGGAGGAGGGCACAAGCAGTGGCCAAGGGAAGGGTGGCCTTGGCCGGTCCTCAGTGGTCTATTTCCCTGGGCAGGTCCAGGGCCTGGGCCCCACCTTTAAGCTCACACTGCACCTTCAGAACACCTCGGCTGCGCGGCCCATCGTGGGGCTGCTGGTCTGCTTCGTGTACAGTGAGGCGCTCTACGCCCTGCCGCGGGCCTTCTTCAAGGTACGGGCTGGGGCGCACAGGGTAGAGGCCTGCGGGCACCTGGCTGGCTGGAGCTGAGGAGGCTGACAGCTCCATGGTCACACAGACTAGGCCCCAGTAGGGCCTCAGGAGGCCACGTGGACGACCCAGAGCTGGGTCTCTTCATGGCCTCTCCCAGAGTCTGCTGGGACCTGAGCACCCCAGAGCCTGCTCCCACCTCCCCAAGGAGAGTCTCCTCCGACAGGAAGAGCCCTCTTTGCCTCTGGGGCCCTCCTTGGCTGCCAGTTTGGAAGGAACTTGAGGACCCTAGGGTGTGGCAGAAGGAGCCCCGGCCTGGGGGTGGCACTGGCCTGGTGAGGGCGTCAGGGGAAGCCTGGGACCCCCGAAGCCAGGGCCCGGCTCCTTCCTTCACCCACAGCTCCCCTTGCTGGTGCCGGGGCTCCTCTACCCCGTGGAGACCTTGGTGGAGGGCCTCAGTGACAAGGGCGTCTCCGACATCATCAAGGTAGCGCAGAGGGCAGAGGGCGGCTGGGGCAGCGGGTGTGGGGGGTCTGCCCAGTGGGCCCTCCTCCTCCCCGGTGGTCTGTCATCAGGATGGACAGATCAGGCCAGACTTGCCCTTTGCAGGGCACGGGGGAGGGGTGACAGGTGCGGCACCCACTGCATGGCCCTGCCCCTTCTGTAGGTGCTGGTGCTCCGGGAAGGCCAGGGCGCACCCCTGCTGAGCGCCCACATCAACATGCCTGTGAGCGAGGGGCTGGCCTCCACCTGACGTAAGCCTGCTCCCAGGACCCGGCACCGCCCACCTGCAGCATTCCCTCACTCCTCAGCCCCTTCCCCCACCCCCACTGCTGTGCCTGCCCAGTGAGGCCCCAGGGGCTTCCTCAGGAACCACCCAGCAGGAGGGGGTGCAGGGGAGGCCAGCCCCACCCTGGGCTGCTTCCCTCAGGCCCATCCCTCGTCTTCATGCTCCAGTGCCCCTAGTCAGGTGACCAGGTGGCCTCACCTTCTGTTCCGGAAGCTTCTCTGAAGCCCTCTGATGCCCCTGGGGGCTGTGAAGGGAGGAAGAGGTGCAGTGGGACAGGGGGCTGCTGAGCAAGGAGCTGAGGGCTCAGCTGTCCCACGTAGACACCACGCCCAGCAGAGGGAGCTCAGCCAGACAGTGGGGCTTTCCCGGCCCTGGGGGTGGACAGCACCACGGGCAGTGGATCTAACTGGAAGGCGAGAGCCAGAGGGCTCACCCTGAGCCACCTGCGCACCAGGAACGTGAGCTGCCTGCAAGCGCCCGGGCACACTGGGCAGCTAGGGGATGATCAAGGCCCCCAGGAACGTGGGCTTGGGCAAGGTGGCCACGGTCAAATGAAGGCTTTATACCAGACTTTTCTAGCCCCCATCTCTGACGCCCCTCAGCTGGGCAGGCCCTGGGGAGGAATTGAGGAGCTGGCCCCAGAAAGGTGATGCTGACCAGTCACTGACCGGTTTTTGTCCTCAAGCCAAGGGCCCTGAGCTGGTTGTCACGACCCAGCGGGAGAGAGGGTGACAGCTCCACCCCCACCCCACCCCCAGCCTAAGCCCTGGTGAGAGAAGTGATGGTCGGACCGTCCCCCTCCCTGCAGGCCTGCTGCTCGCTGACAGAGCAGTTGGGTTCAGACGGTGACACCTTCAGGTGAAGCACAGCTAGGCCAACTGGAGCCCGGCCTGGAAGGGCCTGGAGGTGCAGGGAGGGTCGCTCTGGGGGTCAGCGGTCAGAGGTGCTACTTGACCATCAGAACTTCCTAGCAGAGGGAGCTCAGCCAGACAGAAGAGGCTGCCCAGGGCAGTGACTCACACCCTGGAGCTGGGCAGGCAGGGGCCATGCTGTCACTTGGAGGTCAGTGTGCTGGGTCCAATGACTGGACGATCCCTCTCACCCAACTGACACAACTTGCAAACTGCGGCCTTGGAACGAGCAAGCCTGCCCTGAGCCCTGTGGATAAGTGCAAGGGGAGACCCTTCCAACGGGAGGCGGCTTTATACTGGAGCACTTTGTTGTCCCCAGTTGCTCTCAGGTGGATTCCGATTCCTGGCGCCCTTGCGTGTGCAGAGTACCACGGCTCCTCTGGGTCTGCACAGTGGTGACATCTCGAAATGAGATTGCGAGGCCTGTCTTTCGAGGCTCTTCTGGGTGGGCCCCCATTGCCAGCCGTTCAGCTGGACATCAAGTACTTACCTGTCCGCACCAGCCAGGGGCTCTGCAGTACCGTGCCCCCGTTATTAAACGTGTGTGCATGTGAGCAGCACTGCGTGGGCAAGCAGACTGGAAGTAAGGCAAAGCCAGAACCAGCGAGCGGTAACCATTGCCCACACTGGCTAGACGCCAGGGAGCCGTGTCCACTCGGGAGGAGGGCGTTAGAGAGTCAGTGTCTTTTGATGCTGATCAGGACCCACGCAGGGACGTAGCACGAGGGGGCTCAGGGGTTTCCAGCATCCAGTAAACGAACGGTCTGCGCTGCTACGCACAGCCGGCCTTTAGCTGTTTGTCCTCCTCTCGGAGCCCACGGGCGGCTGTGTCTTGGGCTTGTGGGGTCTCTGTTGACGCCTCATTCTCGGAGGACGTGGGACAGCTCCCGATCCCCTCCTCCCAGCCCCGACTTCCAGGTGGAAAAGCAAATAGAGTCTTATTTCAGGAGACTGTGGTGGGGGTCTGCCTTTGGGAATTTCCTCCCCGGTTTTTTCTCTGTTCTCTGGCCCAGCATCTGGTCCACAGTCGCTCCAGACAGAACAGCACCACAGCTCGGATTCTCTTATCTCCTCTGACCCTTGGCTTCCGATTCCTGGGAGATTTTGACCTTCCAGCTCTCCCGGATTTCAAAAATCATATGTATTTTCTTTTCACTTTCCAACTGTCCTCTTCAATCCTTGTTTGTTTTCTCAAAATGCATTCTCTTCCTATCTGCGAACATGATCTCCTCCTTTTATTCCTTGCATTATCATTGTTTCCTCTGAGTTGCTTGTTTGTTGGCTTCCAAGATAGGGAGCCTAAACTCAGGACGCCGACCATCTTACGTGCACAGTATGAAGGTGAACCGAACTATCCCACCTCCCCAGCCCCCAGACCAGCACGGAAGACGGCCTGTCTGTGAGCGCAGTGCTGGGTCAAAGTGGGAGGGGACTGCTCTCCAGGTTTTAACTTGCCTGACTTAAGAGTTTGCAATTAGATGGACAATAACTTGGTGGTCCCGAAGAGCCCCCTCAACCGGGACAGGGTTGCTGTACCGTCAGGCAGCTGAGACGAAGATGTGCCCTTTCTGGATAATTTATTTTGAACTCAACCCCCTAGGATCCCTCTTGATAAGATTCCAGGAAATAGGAACGGACCAAGGCGCAAGGGAAGAAAGCGCGAACAGGAGCGAGGAGAAGCAGCCTGCGCTCGCGGGGCATGAAGCCCATCTTCTTATTTTAAAATATATTTAAAGGAAACAGGAACCTTAAAACTGAGCTGAAACCTAAAGTGATTTCCGTGCTTTTAATATTTTCTGCCTTTCGACTGAGATTTTTCTGTGTGTTAGCTAGTCGTTGTTGGGGTGTTTTGTTTTGTTTTTTGCTTGTTTGCTTCCTGCCAGTTTTGTATGATTTTCTGTGTGTGAAATGCAGGACAGGTGGGTCTGTAGAGATGTTTAGACAGTAATTGGATGGCGCGTGGCAGGGAGGATGGGGGAAATGGGGAGCTAACAATGAGTAGAGAAGACAATGTTCTGAAATTGTGGGGATGATTGAACCAGTCTTACTTTGAATGATTAAATTGTCCAGTATGTGAAGTATATGCCAATAAAACTATTTTTGAAATGAGCTGAAGGTAAGGTTATATAAATGATGAAGCAGATTTTAATTTTTATTTATTTTTAAAAATCATTACTGGGGGCTCGTACAACTCATCGCAATCCATCCATCCATCCATTGTGTCATAAGCAGATTTTTAAAATGAAGACCTTCCCCCCGCCCAAGAAATTTGGAAATGAAAAACAAAATATTTTAAATCCATTGAATTCTAGCCCACCCCCCAAGATTTTTTAAAAACTTGGAAGTCAAAAATATTTGAAATTAATTAATTGGTACACTGCATTTTAAAAACTCAATAGGTTTAGCAACTGAAGAGAGAATTGTAGAAATTATCTAGAATGTCCAGAGACAGAAGATAGGGGCAACATGAACTGGTAAAGAGGCAAGAAGGACAGAGTAGGGAAAGATCATAGGAGTTCCAACAGGGCACAGAAAGAAATGAAAATCTGTTTCAGATTTTTTTTAGGGCTAGTCATTTTATTAGGGGTTCATACAACCCTTATCACAATCCATACATACATCAGTTGTATAAAGCACATTTGCACATTCATTGCACTCATCAATCTCAAAACATTTGCTCTCCACCTAAGCCCCCAGCATCAGCTCCTCATTTCCCCCTCCCTCCCTGATCCCCCTCCCACATGAACCCTTGATAATTTAGAAATTATTATTTTGTCATATCTTGCTCTGTCCAATGCCTCCCTTCACCCACTTTTCTGTTGTCTGTCCCCCAGGGAGGGGGGTTATATGTAGATCCGTGTAATTGGTTCTCCCTTTCCACCCTACCCTCCCATCACCCTCCCAGTATCGCCACTCACACCACTGGTCCTAAAGGGATCATC